CTGGGGAAAACTGATAGAACAACACCTGGAGTTCTCCCCGATTACCCCTGAGGCCACAAATATTCCATTGTAAATAAGTTGTCATTCACAAAGATAGGTATGCCAACAATGAGAAGCGATAAAATCTACGGCCTAGTAGGATCGTTGAAATCAATGTGTTGAGGCAACGGAAAGCGTGTAACAAGGAGGAATCAGAATGCTGTGAAGGAAAAGATTGCTGCGAGGGTTGTGAAAAATAAAAAAGGGCATAAGGAGGCACACTGGTGTTCATCGAGGGTTTCGTCTCTGCAGTATAGTGTTTCAGCGGACAAGGAAGATGCCGATACCATGACTTCATGACTTCAGAGACAGGTGAGGTAGACCAAGTAGAGATCGGGGAGACTATGGAGGGAACCAAAGAGGTCTGAAAGGGAAGGGGAGTATGAACCTGGAGAGATGTGGCAGCAGGGACAAAAGAGTCCTGCGGTGGAACAGGAGAGGAAGGAGGCTAGAAGGGGACTGGGGAAGAAATCTGGGGAAAGGGAACAGGAGAAAAGGGGACCACACAAGGAGGGGTGAACCTCCACCTTTGTGTGAGAGTTAGAAAGAGGGTGAGAACTAAGCACCGGAGGAATGCGAAGAGACTTGGGCTTAGGAGACAGGTTCAACTTCACAGGTGATAGGCACGAAGAAGGTGCAGGCGTGCGAGGCCTTGCAGATTGAGAAACTAGCAGGAGAGATGAAAAAGTAGAAGTAGGAAGAGGTAAGGAGGTGGGGGTTTCAGGGGGTAAAACTGCAAAAGAATTAGAGATGGGGATGACCCCAGAAGACATGGCACCAGAGGAGCTGGTAGGCAGGCGACCCGCCAAGGCTGGAGGTCTCCTAGTTACTCAAGAATAAGGAACACGAGGAAGATTCTCCTGAAGGCAGAGCCAAGAGACAGCCATAGCACAAGGCCTTCACTCTCCGTAAGACAACAGATGTCACATTCATTAAGATAACCCTGACATCGGCAGGAAAAAGAATGATGAGTTACATTGCAATTAAGACAAGTGGGGGGAAGGCAAGACATATTGGCATGATCTGCAGCACCGCAGACATGGCACTCGGCCGCAGACCTCCAGTATTTAACGGGATGTCCGAAGCGCCAACAATTTCGACACTGTTGGGGTGTAGGGACCACTTAACGGACCCCTAGGCGATGTCCCACGATGTCAAAAGTTAAGCAGGCGATGTTACTGCGAAAGCACCTCTACCCGCAAGCGGATAAAACATATGTATCCACTTTGAGAATCGAAAGGTCCTGAAGGGCTAATTGCTCTAAAATATCATCACCGCAAGACAGAAAATCATGCTGTACAATGGTGTGTGGGAAGACCACAGTACCACTGCAAGAACTGAGAGTAGTGTGCTTGTGAACTGTGATAGGAACATTATCAATGGAAGTCAGATGGGTAAGATCATGAACTTGGTCTGTATTCTGAACTATAACGATGCACGCACCACTCCAAAGAGCGTGAAAGTATATACTATTTTGGCCAATATGTCATAGAAGAGCTTTACCAATACTGTCATCTGAAAGATAATCAGTTGAAGATGTCGGTTGTAGGGAAAAGAGTTTGATCCACTGTGTACTTGTAAACATGGTGTGTAAAGGAAGTGGGTGTCGTGTAGGTCGTTGCTGAGTGGAAGGAGCAGAAATCGAAGAACCGTTGTCAGCAAATGGTCTGGAACATTTAGGCATGGGACCGCGGGCGGCCCGACCTGAGGCAGGTGGGGGATCCGAAAACCATCACACTGTGTTTGGGGAAGTCGGACGCATAGTTAAAGACTTACAAGAGGCAGAGGCACTAGAAAAAATAGGCGGAGCCTTGGCACCTGGAGCAGGTGACAAAGTGTCACAAGCAGGAGGTACAGGGGTATGGGAAAAGTCTGGAGAATGGTCCAATAACGAAGCTGGATCAGAACAGGATGCGGTAACAAAAAGAAGCCTGAAAGGAGGAGGGGAGTCACGGAATGAAGACTCCATGATGGTAGTACTTTCTTATTATTATTTTAAAGGAAAAAAAGAAAGAAGGAAAGAAAAAAAAAAAGAGGGACTGCGGAGAGACAGTTACTAGAAAGCATGTAAGAGCCGTAAGTTTCCCCTCTCATCTATGAGGACCTTGAGACCACCAGCAGTGCAAGTGCAGCGTGGAACCCGTGCCATACCCTACCCTTCACGCCAGTAAACCTGCACTCCAGGATAGTCACCTCCGCGGACAAAAGAGAGGGCGGCCGGATACCCGCCACAAAGCATACCTTCTTCGGCTGCCACCTCCTAGAACCAACAGGCAGCCTCTGGAGATACACCAGTCACCTGTAGGACACCCCGCCCCGCCTCCTGGAAATCTGGGAAGGGAACAGGTTGCCTCTGAGGATTCCAATGTCCAGAGGTCTTGATGAGGAGGTTGTATCCTTAATAAATACGTACTGCTGTCTGTTAGCAAGGTAAGTCTTTATATATGCAAGTGCATAGCCTCTAATACCGTAATGATCAAGTTTGTAAAGTAGGATGCTGTGGTCTGATGTATCAAAAGCTTACCTTAGGTCGATAAAGAGTCCTGGTGAAAATTAATTTTTTTCAAGTGCTGTGTAAAGTAGGTCTAGCATTTTTATAATTGCGTCATCTGTGCTTTTGTTTCTCCTGAAGCCAAACTGACAAGGATTGAGACTAGTTTATAATGTTATGAAGGAGTATGATCTCTTCTGTACGAGTTTCTCGAAGATTTTGGCTAGCAAAAGGAAGTTTGGCATTGATCTATAGTTGTCAACATCTTTCGGATCTCCACCTTTGTGTACTGAAATAACTCTTTCTATCTTGAGTATGTCGGGAAAGTGCTGGTTTCTAGTGATTTGTTAAAAAGTAATGTAATGGTGGATGAGAGGACATGAGCTGCTCGTTTGTACAGTAGTGGTGGGACGTAAGCTAAATTTCTTGATTTGTTGTTCAGCGAATTAATGATCAGGGTGACTTCAGTTGGCTCGGTTGGAGCAAGACAGAGGGATGTTGGGAATTTACTGTAACATTGAGTTGCAGATGACATCAATCCGCGTCCAGTAGACAGACTTTACATCTTTGTGAATTTGTTTGTGCTGAAAAATACTTGTAACTTATTTTAATTATAACTGTAATATGATGGGTAATCAGCCTTATTTTAACGAAACATTTCGAAGCATGATACTGGGACAGCTACAGTGTATCAACATCCTGTGTTGTTATAGCCAGATATCCAAGGAAGTGTGTTCTCTCTCACTCTCATAAACAATCACACACATACAGCACACCCCATCCCCCACGCACTCTCACACTCACACATTTATATATATATATATATATATATATATATATATATATATATATATATATATATATAATATCAGAATATACAAAACAACCACTGTGAAAGAATAGTGAAATGCCAAGCGCTTTCGTGACTTCTCACATTATCATAGTTCCTTGATAATGTGAGAAGTCACGAAAGCGCTTGTAATTTCACTATTCTTTCACAGTGGTTGTTTTGCATATTCTGATATCATCTGTTTACTGCAATCTTATTACACACACACACACACACACATATGCCGAATATGTAAAACTGGTCAATTAGCAAGAACTCATTTAAAATTAAGTCCTTTCTAAAATTTTCTCTTATACGTTTAAAGATATATTTTTTTCATTAATGTTGATGTAAAAATTTATAATTTTGCACCAAAAGGAACTTAGAAAACTTACCTAACCTTATTATAACAAGAACAATTTATTTTAGCCTAACCCAACTAAATATATTTTAGATTTGTTTACAATAATTAAATACTAAACAAACACAGTGAAATATATTTTTTTCGTTAGGTTCAGAATGATTTTGGCGAAATTATTGCATACACAAATTTTCACTTGTCCTATATGGCAAGATGAGCGTTGCTATTTAAGCCAAGACCGCAAGTTCTGCCTATTCGGCACGACATTATATATATATATATATATATATATATATATATATATATATATATATATATATATATATATATATATATATATATATATATATATATATATATACATATATATATATATATATATATATATATATATACATATATATATATACATATATATATATATACAGCAATGCCTAAGCGTACGTAATAAGGCAAATAGATTACTGGGATTTATATCAAGAAGTGTAAGCAACAGAAGTCCAGAGGTCATACTGCAGCTTTATACATCATTAGTAAGGCTCACCTTGATTATGCAGCTCAGTTCTGGTCTCCGTATTACAAAATGGACATAAATTCGTTAGAAAACATTCAGCGTAGGATGACTAAATTAATACATAGCATCAGAAATCTTCCTTATGAAGAAAGATTGAAGACTCTTAAGTTACATTCACTTGTTAGACGAAGAATGAGGGGAGACCTGATCGAAGTGTATAAGTGGAAGATAGGTATTAATAAAGGGGATATTAATAAGGTCTTGAGGATGTCTCTCCAAGAGAGAACGCGCAGTAAATGGATTTAAATTAGATAAGTTTAGATTTAGAAAGGACATAGGAAAGTATTGGTTTGGAAATAGGGTAGTTGATGAGTGGAACAGTCTCCTCTGTTGGGTTATTGAGGCTGGGACTTTGGGTAGTTTCAAATCTAGGTTGGATAAGTACATGAGTGGGAGGGGTTGGATTGAGTGGGACTTTCACATCAGAGCTTATTTCTTGGGTGGCATTGAAAATTGGGTTGGGCAAATGTTTTGTTAGTGGGATGAATTGTAAAGGACCTGCCTAGTATGGGCCAGCAGGCCTCCTGCAGTGTTCCTCCTTTCTTATGTTCTTATGTTTTTTATATATATATATAATTATATATATATATATATATATATATATTATATATATATATATATTAGCACTGGAAAAAAGTAAATTTTTTCACATGTCTATATTTTCGGTATTCTTGTTCGTTAAGTTAATTAATATTTAATGGCCCAGGTTCCTGTGTGCTGCTCATACGGTATCATAAGGTCAGTGCTGCCAACTTGTGTAGATCCGTGATAAGAACACCAACCAGCTACAGCAGGACATAGTACTGAACAAGAGTGTAAGCAACCTCAGGCGCCGGCTAGTGACAACAGAAGTACAGTATATCTCTCCTTGGAATCATACAACCAAACCTTGTCACAACTCCCTCTCTCATCAGCTGGTAACCACTATGGGTTCTGTCGGCAGATTTTCAGAGGAATTCTGGGTAAGTTCTTTTCATATATGCAAATATAAATAGGTAATTGCACACACAGATCAAGAGACCATTGTTACCTGATGCCTCTAACTGAACACTTCCAGGATGGGGGGAAAGTGCAGCAAACTTGTATCCAGAGTGTATGTTAAGACTACAGGAGGAAAGTTGTAGATGCCAAGGGTTTGAGCCACCGGACGTAATCAAAGAGCAAGCCTGTAGCATGCCAGAAGCAAGTCAGGGGCAGGTCAGGAGCAAGTCAGGGGCAGGTCAGGAGCAAGTCAGGGGCAGGTCAGGAGCAGGCCAGGAGCAAGTCGGGAGCAAGTCAGAAGCAAGCCAGCAACGAGTCAGGAGTAAGTCAGCAACAAGCCAGCAACAGATAAAAATAATATAATCAAGGAAAGCTCTAAACATGAAAAGATCATACGACACTGCAGGAAGGTCCAACGAGGACCATCGTTGTTGCCTGTGGTTGCGGAGTTGTTCAGACATCAAAGAAACAATCCAGGAAAGGAATACCCCTGTGTGAAATTGGGAGGTCATGAACAGTTGACCGTGCAGCTGAGTCTGACTGCTCGTTACCCACAGCATCAGTGTCCAGGGACCCATCGATAAACGGCGTCTTTGTCTTGCTAGAAATGTGACATAACCACAGTTATAAACGAAGGACGTTGGGATAAGGAGAGTCAAATTTTTGGATATGCTTGGAGAGGGTTTCGGGGGTCAACGTCCCCGCAGCCTGGTCTGTGACCAGGCCTCATTGTGGATCAGGGTCTGATCAACCAGGCTGTTACTGTTGGCCACACGTAAACCGACGTACGACTCACAGCCTGGCTGATCAGGTACTGACTTTAGGTGCCTGTTCAGAGTCATCTTGAAGACAGCCAGGGATCTATTGGTAATCCACCTTATGTATGCTGGGAGGCAGCTGAATAGTCTTGGGGCCCCTGGCACTTATTGTGTTGTCTCTTATCGTGCTAGTGGCGCCTCTGCTTTTCATTGGGGAAATGTTGCATCTCCTGCCGAGTCTTTTGCTTTCATAAAAAGTGATTTTCGTGTGCAAATTTGGTACTAATCCCTCTAGGATTTTCCAAGTGTATATAATCACGTATCTCTCCCACCTATGTTCCAGGGAATACAAGTCGAGGAACTTCAACTGTATTCCCTGGAACGCAGGCGAGAGAGATACAAGATAATATACACTTGTGTACGAATGGTATATAATACCGACAAGATGAGAGTAAGACACATGTGCAACATCTGGGTATCTTTATTGTAGACGTTTCGCCATCCAGTGGCTTTATCAATACAAATTCTAGGACATAACTTGAAGACAGTAGAACTATGTACAGAAAATGAGGTAATCAGTCCCTCAACCTAGGAGTAGGTGCGAACAGCACCATAGTCGTGGAGATTCTGAAGCAGAAGAAAGAATCCTGGCGCTTATATAGTAACGTCAGGTGTAGCAGACGAGGGCATATTCACTGGTAGGCGGGATTCCCCAGTGGAAGTAGGTCCTTCCCAAAGAGATGGGTTAGTTGTAGTAGTAGTTGTCGTAGTCGTGAAGGTTATGTGCATGTCCTCAGAATATCGATTCCATGATGTTGCAGTGTCTGACAAGTTGTGTACGAATGGTATATAATACCGACAAGATGAGAGTAAGACACATGTGCAACATCTGGGTATCTTTATTGTAGACGTTTCGCCATCCAGTGGCTTTATCAATACAAATTCTAGGACATAACTTGAAGACAGTAGAACTATGTACAGAAAATGAGGTAATCAGTCCCTCAACCCAGTCCTAGAATTTGTATTGATAAAGCCACTGGATGGCGAAACGTCTACAATAAAGATACCCAGATGTTGCACATGTGTCTTACTCTCATAATATACACTTGGAAGGTCCTGGAGGGATTGGTATCAAACTTGCACACGAAAATCACTCCCTATGAAAGCAAAAGACTCGGCAGGAGATGTAACATTCCCCCGATGAAAAGCAGTGGCGCCACGAGTACATTGAGAGACAGCACAATAAGTGTCCGGGGCCCAAGACTGTTCAGTTGCCTCCCAGCATACATAAGGGGGATTGTCAATAGACCCCTGGCTGTCTTCAAGAAGGCACTGGACAGGCACCTAGTCAGTATTTGACCAACCGGGCTGTGGTTCGTACGTCAGCTTGCGTGCGGCTAGCAGTAACAGCCTGGTTGATCAGACCCTGATCCACCATGAGGCTTGGTCTCAGACCGGGCCGCGGGGGCGTTGACTCCCGAAACCCTCTCCAAGTAGGTGTTTTATCGTACTTATGTGTGCTGTGAAAGTTCTCTGTATATTTTGTAGGTCAGCAATTTCACCTGCCTTGAAAGGTGCTGTTAGTGTGCAGCAATATTGCAGCCTAGATAGAACAAGCAACCTGATGAGTGTCAACATGGGCTTGGTATCCATGGTTTTGAAGGCTCTCATTATCCATACTGTCATTTTTCTAGCAGATGCGATTGATACAATGTTGTTGTCTTTGAAAGTGAGATTCTCTGATATTATCACTCCCAGGTCCTCTACATTAGGTTTTCACTCTATTGTGTGGCTGGAATGTGTTTTATACTCCGATATAGTTTTAATTTCCCCACATTTTCCATATCAGAGTAATTGAAATTTTTCTTCATTGAACTTCATATTATTTTCTGCAAGCCCATTTAAAGATTTGGTTGATGTCCGCCTGGAGACTAGCAATGTCTTTAATGGAGGACACTGTCATGCAAATTCGTGTGTCATTTGCAGAGGAAGACACGGTGCTGTGGCTTACATTCCTGTCTATGTCAGATATGAGGATGAGGAACAGGATGGGATCGAGTTTACCTGGAGTTTACCTGGAGAGAGTTCCGGGGGTCAACGCCCCCGCGGCCCGGTCTGAGACCAGGCCTCCTGGTGGATCAGAGCCTGATCAACCAGGCTGTTGCTGCTGGCTGCACGCAAACCAACATACGAGCCACAGCCCGGCTGATCCGGAACTGACTTTAGGTGCTTGTCCAGTGCCAGCTTGAAGACTGCCAGGGGTCTGTTGGTAATCCCCCTTATGTGTGCTGGGAGGCAGTTGAACAGTCTCGGGCCCCTGACACTTATTGTATGGTCTCTTAACGTGCTAGTGACACCCCTGCTTTTCATTGGGGGGATGGTGCATCGTCTGCCAAGTCTTTTGCTTTCGTAGTGGGTGATTTTCGTGTGCAAGTTCGGTACTAGTCCCTCTAGGATTTTCCAGGTGTATATAATCATGTATCTCTCCCTCCTGTGTTCCAGGGAATACAGGTTTAGGAACCTCAAGCGCTCCCAATAATTGAGGTGTTTTATCTCCGTTATGCGCGCCGTGAAAGTTCTCTGTACATTTTCTAGGTCGGCAATTTCACCTGCCTTGAAAGGTGCTGTTAGTGTGCAGCAATATTCCAGCCTAGATAGAACAAGTGACCTGAAGAGTGTCATCATGGGCTTGGCCTCCCTAGTTTTGAAGGTTCTCATTATCCATCCTGTCATTTTTCTAGCAGATGCGATTGATACAATGTTATGGTCCTTGAAGGTGAGATCCTCCGACATGATCACTCCCAGGTCTTTGACGTTGGTGTTTCGCTCTATTTTGTGGCCAGAATTTGTTTTGTACTCTGATGAAGATTTAATTTCCTCATGTTTACCATATCTGAGTAATTGAAATTTCTCATCGTTGAACTTCATATTGTTTTCTGCAGCCCACTGAAAGATTTGGTTGATGTCTGCCTGGAGCTTTGCAGTGTCTGCAATGGAAGACACTGTCATGCAGATTCGGGTGTCATCTGCAAAGGAAGACACGGTGCTGTGGCTGACATCCTTGTCTATGTCGGATATAAGGATGAGGAACAAGATGGGAGCGAGTACTGTGCCTTGTGGAACAGAGCTTTTCACCGTAGCTGCCTCGGACTTTACTCTGTTGACGACTACTCTCTGTGTTCTGTTAGTGAGGAAATTATAGATCCATCGACCGACTTTTCCTGTTATTCCTTTAGCACGCATTTTGTGCGCTATTACGCCATGGTCACACTTGTCGAAGGCTTTTGCAAAGTCTGTATATATTACATCTGCATTCTTTTTGTCTTCTAGTGCATTTAGGACCTTGTCGTAGTGGTCCAATAGTTGAGACAGACAGGAGCGACCAGGCCTTTTGGAACAGAACTTTTCACAGTAGCCGCTTCAGACTTTACTCTGTTTACTACTACTCTTTGTGTTGTTTGTTAGATTATAAATCCATCTACCAACCTATCCTGTTATTCCTTTAACACGGATTTTGTACGCTATTACACCATGGTCACACTTGTTGAAGGCTTTCGCAAAGTGTGTATACTACATCTGGGTTTTGTCTGTCTTTAGGCACATTCAAGACCTTGTCGTAGTGGTCCAGTAGTTGGGACAGGTAGGAGTGACCTGCTCTAAACCCATATTGCCCTGGGTTGTGTAACTGGTGGGCATCTAGATGAGTTGTGATCTTACTTCTTAGAGCCCTTTCAAAGGTTTTTAAGATATGGGATGCTAGCGCTATTGGTCTGTACTTCTTTGCTATTGCTTTGCTGCCCCTTTTGTTGAGTGGGGCTATGTTTGTTTTTAGCAGCTGTGGGATGACCCCTGTGTCCATGCTCTCTCTCCATAGAATGCTGAAAGCACGTGACATGGAAACTGCAAAATTTCTAAAACATTAGCATAGGTGATACTCAACCAGGCAAAGCACCACCTGCCCAACAACACAGGAGTCACATGATCTCATCGTCTACCCGGCATCCCAATATGGTATTCTTCAGGTCACCATGCGTCACTCACACCTCACTCTCCGCCTGTATGTACTGTGTTTTAACCTCTGTATGTAGCAGAAGTGATCAAGGTCCCAGGGCCGAAACGTTTTCTACTAAATATGTCATAGTGTTTGCTTATGTGTCTTTCTAAACTAACCTGTCGGTATATATTACCAGGTTTATACCATCCTGTCTACCAAGGAAACATGC